TCCTCGGCATGCTGAGTCCGGCTCGCAGGAGACGAGGGAACCACAAGATGACCAATTACCCCTCTCTCCCCCACCTCAAGAACTATATATTGATTTGTTGAAGTTTTTTTTCATGAAAATAGTTCTCGATAGAACTGTTACTTCACAAAATTAATAAACGTCTTCGCTGTATTCTTTATTGTTTCTCTTGGCTCCTCGATTGATTGAACTGCGTGGTCCCACTCGTTGCCGTCTCTCCCCTCGCATGCGATCACTCCAGGGTTAGTGGAAACCCAAGAGAAGAGACATAATATCTCCATAAGGGAGCCAGTGGTATGAAACTGTCTTCACAACGAGACGGAAATTTAGTGCGCTTGTTTCGACGATAAACCTGGGTCTATTTCGCGAGGTTCAAGGACACACCATTAACCATGATTTCCTGCCCGGTTAGATCTCCTCTTAAAGATACGAATATTCTTAAACTGCCTGAGGACGGAACTGACCATGAACAATACAACAACATCCATAATACTTACGTCGCTGTCATCAGCGCACTTAGACCTATTTTCATCCACGAATAAAAATACAGGTGGAACCGCGAGCATCAGGAAGAGACATTTCCTTACGCTTGTTTTATTACTGCATGGAGCCAGACGCTAGAGTGCCAACATGCGACTTATAGATTTCAGTCGGGGTGTCACCATGTGACCCGTCTTGGGAATTCTGAGTGCAGACGGGCCCCGAACAATCATTTTGATTCCTTAGTTGACTAAAGAACCTAGCTGTAAGGCAGAGCTTGTAGGATAACCCCCACTACTCTGTGGGTTTACGGTCGTCATGTCGCGGTGCCATAATCAAGTCTTGTGGCATTTAATAGGGCAGTTGACATGTCCGTCGTCATTCTTCTGTGCTTGGTAGCTCGGCCACTGCTGGTCCCCTTGTCCAGTATGCGGGCCTACTTTTCCACAGTTCACTTTCGACGAAGGCTGCTCGGGCAAATATCCAAATTCCATGCCTCTGCGCAAACCGCCTACTGGTTAAGGTTTGAATGCATTGATTTCTCTGAGCACC